CTGTAAGTGCCCGGGAGAGCAGGAGCCCGTCTGTCCCCCCAGCAGGATGCAGGGAGCCGCCCAGGCCTACTCCAGGACAGCAGAGGCTGCCGAGGGAGGTGGAGCCCCAGCCCAGGCGCCCGCCCCAGGGTGCCCAGTCTCTGGACTCAGGTCCCTGCCCCCCAGCCCGCCGCCCCTCACTGTGGGCAGAGCAGCCCTGCCCTCTGGAGTGTATACACCCCACCTAGAGCGTCGGGGTGGCCGCGGCCAGTTAGCGGGGAAGCCAGTTGTGCCGTCTCCCTGAGAAAAACCGTTAGCCCTCATCACTCGGTCAGCGTGGCTGCCCCCTGCGGAGGGAGACCAGTAGGCGGCTGCTTCCCTGGGTCGGCTGGGCCTGGGCCCCCAGGGCGGGCAGGGCTTTCCTTGAGGCCGCGAAGCCTCTCCCGGCCTTTGGGGATTCCAGTGTGGGCACACAGCAGCCAAGGGGCCGCGTTGCCTTTCGGAGGCAACCGGAGGCCGAGCTCTGCGCCCACCGTGTCCTAACACGCTTTCTCCCCCCCAGACCATCAGTGCTACAACGGCTCTGGGGCGGACTATCGAGGCACCACCAGCACCACCAGGTCGGGGCACCAGTGCCAGCCCTGGGCACTGCAGCACCCCCACAGCCACCACCTGTCGAGTGCAGACTTCCCCGAGCTGGGCGGGGGCCACGCCTACTGCCGGAACCCAGGGGGCCAGATGGAAGGGCCCTGGTGCTTTACGCAGAATAAAAACGTACGCATGGAACTGTGTGACGTTCCCTCGTGTAGTATGTATTCCCTCTCTCTCTTTTTTTAAGTGTTGACTGTTAAGTGAACCTTGGGGTGCGAGCCTCTGTCCTGACGGGCCACGGCGCGCCGTCCTCACCACCACTGGTTGCACACAGCTGTTGCTGGGTACCCAGGTCCTCTCCAGTCACTGTAGGACATTTTAAAATGTGGGGAAGTCTGGAGAATAATTTGCGGGCACCCCAATCTCACCCCCCAGTGGTGGCCATGTGGGCATCCCATTGGCGCGCCCCCCGTGCACGGTCCTGGGGCCTCTTGCTTCTCTGCTGATGTTATCCACAGTGTCCCCGATGTGGCAGACACGCCTCCCTCCCACCCAGCTTTGCGCTCTCCACTGCCGCTCAGCTGTCACCCGCAGACTCGGTGGTGTGAGGTGAAAACATGGCACTCCGCTGAGTCCTTCCTCACCGTGTGTCTGTTACATCATGAGTAGGGATAGGCATGGAACGGATGGCTACCACCTCCAGCTGTCTTTGTCCCTGTCCAGAAACACCTTTTGCCAGCTCAGTCATAGGTCCCGGGAGATGCAATGGGCAGCTGTGGTGGGTGAACGGTTGCACCCACCGATGAGAGGTCGGTTGGGGAAGCACGTCTGGGTTACCAGTGGTAGGACCTCCTCCTGCATGGAGGGACCCCACCCGCCCCGGGACGGACTGCCTTGCAGAAATGTGACTCGGAGCTCCAGCTGCGGCGCTGCTTTGGGCCCGGCAGTTCACACGCCCACCTCGAGAGCATGCGAGTGTGGCATGAGCGCTCTTAAGACCGCAGGTGCTAGTTGCTGAGTTGTAATCGTGCCACGCTGGAGTGCTCCACTGTGTAAACCTGTCCTGAAAAGCATCCAGATGCCTGTGAGGAACAAACACAGGTTGCAGGACCATAGCTGGAGGAGGGCCGTTTTTTGTTTATTGTTGTGTTTCTGGTAAAAAGAAAAGCCGTGGCAGACATTTGTATGTGAGCGCCCACACAAGCACCCGAGTTTCACAGACAGAATTCTGAAAGGGTGCACATCAAACTTTGGCAGTGGTTTCCCCAGACCCACAGAAATGTTAAAGTATGAGACTTTTTTTTTTTAACAATGAGAAGGTATTGCTTTTGCAATTAAAAATCAAAACAGGATGAAATAAATATGTATGTTTTAGGACCTGGCAATTCCTGCCGTCTTATACTGCAGAAATATTTGCACTTACAGTGCGTAAATGCCCCTTGGGAGCTAAATACAGGACAGACTCGGTGTGGATCCCCAGGCCTCTTCTGACATGAAATGCTGACCAGGAGCAAAAGGGACAATGTGATTCTGGTGAAATCTGTTTAAAATCTGTTTTAAAAAACCTGGTGAAACAGGGTGAAATCTGTTTAAAATCTGTTTTAAAAAACCACGTGGAACGACTGTATCTGTCATCTTATGGGGCTCAACCTGAAGTACACATGAAGAGTTTGGTGAACACCCACTTGTTAACAGTGTGGCAGCCTTAGGTGAAAGAGCTACCGGGAATATTCACCTTTTCAGCCCACGTTTCTGTAATGCTACAGTTTTCTCCTGAGAGGCACGTGTCCTGTGGCTAATAAAATGGCACAGGTGACGGTGCAGATGTGTGGGCAGGGCTCACACCCCTGGGCGTAGTCACGGAAAAGGAACTGGTGTCTACGGTGTCCCAGAAGCCTCTGGGACATTTTCTTCAGGGACCTGTCGGGAGGGAAGATGCCGAGTGGGACCAGAGGAGAGTTATTTGTGGTTTTCTTTGATTTTATCTTATTTTGGGAGCAGGGATGGGATGAGGCTGGGTTTGCTCTCCCTGAGACAGCAGTAGAGAGTTCCGTCTTTGGGCTGAGCGAGTGCTTTCTGACGCCCCACTGCCCAGTCTGCCCAGACGTCACTGTGTGCCTCCAGGTGGGGGCTGTGGGCCTGGTCAGGGGCCTCTGGGTCTCTGTACTGAAAAGAAAACAACTCGTGGTTCCCCAGGGAACTCTCCTCCCCCAGCCTGGGACACAGTGGGCCCCTTGTATGGCACCTCCTCTCGTACACAGGAAGCAGGAGCAGCCCTGAACCTGTCCAGGGGTGGAACGCCAGGGTCACCTGCCCGGTGATCAGAGGCCAGGGTCGCCCGCCCAGGGGTCGGACGCCAGGGCCACCTGTGCAGGCATCGAAAGTCAGGGTCAGCTGGCGAGTGTCACTCCTCCTTGGGATAAAAGGAGAGGATGCTGGAAGATCAAGGCTGTTGCTGCATCTTGCTTTTCAGTAGTTCTTGTGCCCTTTTGTGTATCATGTCGGGGCAACGCACGGGCTGCTGGTGCTCCTTTAAATGGAGTGCACTTTAATTGTAATCCTAAAATAATATGCTATCATTAGACACAAATGTGGGGGAAATACTACGTGTGGAGGGAGGAAAAGGGTTCCCTCCCGGCACAGTGTGTCACATTCACCGAGGAGAAGGGGTCCAGGGTGTCTCCGCAGAGCCCTGAATCAGGAAGTGGGGTGGACGCCTGTTCTGAGAGTCAGCAGGGAGGCGGGCGTGGGGCTGCTCCCTGAAGACCTTTAGAGGCCACCCGGCAGCACGCCGTGTGTCTGTGGGGGCGGCTTGGGCTGTTCCCACCAGCCCTCAGCAGGGTGGGCACGTGTTGGTGTGGCACTGTTTGTAGGTGTGGCATGCGCTGTTGCCCTGGGTGCAGTGGGCCCAGTTATCCATTTCAGTATTTGGACGGGGGCGGGGAAGGGGCGGAGGCGCTCGGAGGCGAAAGGGGCATCTTCTGGAGGTCACGTGAGCCCGTTGCCGCCCGCAGGTCCCCGGGACGGCAGCCGGATGGGGCTCCTGTACATCCTGGTGCCCAGCATTGCCATCCCGCTGGTCATCGCCTGCCTCTTCTTCCTGGTCTGCATGTGCCGGAACAAGCAGAAGGCGTCCGTGTCTACACCGCCGCGGCGGCAGCTGATGGCCTCGCCCAGCCAGGACATGGAGATGCCCCTGATCGCACAGCACAAGCAGGTGTCCTGTGTCTGTTCTGGAGGGCTCCCTGGGGCATCCTCGGGCTGCTCCCCGACACTGGGCTTCTTGGTTTGCTCAGCACACGGTTCTTCCAGGCAGTGCTCAGCTCCGCCGATTCCTCTCTACCCCGTGTCAGGACGCCGCGCCTTTAGAAGGCAAATGGCAGGCGTGTTGGGAGGTCGCCACACAGAGGCTGGGGCTCCCCCTAACCACACGGATGGGCACCCATCGTCCAGGGCCCTCATTCTGCCCACAGGATACACGCAAAAGAGGGGACTCGGGGTGCCCCACGGTGTGAGGCCTATGTGGCATTTTTAAAGGACTGCTTTCTGGCTGGGTTGGGTTGGGTGGTTTTTCAGAGAAAGATAGAATCACAGCCCTTGGCAGGGCGGAGCAGGAGGGATGGGCCATTGCTCAAAAGCCATCCTCTGAGAACGCCCTTAGGAGGGGCGTCCCTGAGACACACGAAGCGAGGAAGTGGGTCGTGGCCTCCACAAGTTTCCCGCAGGCTCTTCAGGGAGGCCAAGGGAGGCGGACTCGGGTGCCCTTCAGGTGGGGCCCTGGAGGGTGCCGTGGGGCCCAGCCAGCAAGCAGGGTGCAGCCGGGAAGGATGGACTGGCCACCCCGAGGCAGCAGGCAGGCTGGAGGCTGGAGGGGACCCAGGGCCTGGGGACCTGTGTCGTGAGGGGCACTTCTGCCCAAAGCAGGCTGAGCAGAGACTAGTGAAGAGGGAGCCAGGAGACGGCCTGCAGAACCCTTGGCCTGGCCGCCAAGACAGCAAAAGCACAGACAGAAGCGTCCCGGGAAGGCACCACGGGGTCCATGGGAAAAGACAGGGCTCCTCACAGTGATGTGAGGACACGGGGGAGGTGGGGGGAATGCAGCCAGGCACGTTCAGGCTGAGCCCGGGACAGCTTGGCTGTGTGCGCGCGCGCGCGCGCTCGTGCATGTGTGTGTGTGTCAAGTCCACAGCGGGAGCCCAGCTGGATTTGGGAAGGGCCTGACTTGCACGCTGGTTGGAGCCCGTTGAAGTTTCGAGGGAAGGTGGCCGTGGCGTGGGGGCCGTGTTTAAGACCAACCGGAGAGCCGTGGGCCGGGCGGGCCCAGGCCAGGGCGGGTGGGGCCCGCGGGTCTTCTGTGGCGCTGCCCACAGCAGCACCAGGGCTTTGCGCCCCTCCCGGCTGCGGCGCCCTGCTCCAGGGCCGCGGCGTCTCATGACGGCTCTTCCCGGCAGGCCAAGCTCAAGGAGATCAACCTGTCCGCCGTGAGGTTCGTGGAGGAGCTGGGCGAGGACCGGTTTGGGAAGGTCTACAAGGGCCACCTGTTCGGTCCCGCGCCCGGGGAGCCGACGCAGACCGTGGCCATCAGGACCCTGAAGGACAAGGCGGAGGGGCCCCTCCGGGAGGAGTTCCGGCACGAGGCCTTGCTGCGGGCGCGGCTGCAGCACCCCAACCTGGTGTGCCTGCTGGGCGTGGCCACCCAGGAGCCGCTGAGCATGGTCTTCGGCTACTGCCCGCACGGCGACCTGCACGAGTTCCTGGTCATGCGCTCGCCCCACTCGGATGTGGGCAGCAGCGACGACGACCGCACGGTGCGGTCGGCCCTGGAGCCGCCCGACTTCGTGCACGTGGCCGCGCAGATCGCGGCGGGCATGGAGTACCTGGCCAGCCACCACGTGGTGCACAAGGACCTGGCCACGCGCAACGTGCTGGTGTACGACAAGCTGGCCGTCAAGGTCTCGGACCTGGGCCTCTTCCGCGAGGTCTACGCCGCCGACTACTGCGCGCTGGCGGGCGGGGCGCCGCTGCCCATCCGCTGGATGGCGCCCGAGGCCCTCGTGTTCGGGCGGTTCTCGGTGGACTCGGACGTGTGGGCCTTCGGCGTGGCGCTCTGGGAGGTCTTCAGCTACGGCCTGCAGCCCTACTGCGGCTACTCCAACCAGGACGTGGTGGAGCTGGT